ACCCTCAGCAGCGTGGCCAGGACGTCCCTGCCCAGAGTGTCCTACATCACCGCCATGGACCTCTTCGTCACCGTCTGCTTCCTGTTCGTCTTCGCGGCTCTGATGGAGTACGCCGCGTTGAACTACTACTCAAGCGGCGCCCGCGGACCCAGATGCAGGGAGCCCAAGCGACCCGTGAGTTGGCGTTCTATCGTCTTTTTAATATGAGCGCGTGTGTGTCGGGTCGGGTTCGTCGACGCGGCAGTGACGTAGACCCAGAAATCGTTTTTCTTTTTTAAGACCCGCCCTTTTCTTTTCAGAACTACTCGGCCCTGGACGCGAGGCCGCCGCACGCCGTCATCGCCCTGAACAACTCGCTGTACTGGCAGGACTTTGAGGACGCGTGCGTGTACGATTGTCTGGACGGGAAGGACTGCCGGAGCTTCTTCTGCTGCTTCGAGGAGTGCAGAGGAGGAGGCTGGAGGAAAGGACGGGTCCACCTGGACCTGTTGGATCTGGACGCGTACTCGCGCGTCTTCTTCCCCACCTCCTTCCTGCTGTTCAACATCGTGTACTGGGTGGGATACCTCTACCTTTAACCCGCCACGCCGGGACGGTCCGACGGGAGGAATCGATTCGGAGATTAAAAAACGGTAACACCCAATAAAACTCTGAAGCCGTCACCGCCCGGATGCGATGGGGTTTTCTGCCCCGGAGACGCCTTCAATGTTCCACAATGCCGATTCCCTTCGGCGCGCGAATGGCGGCGTTACGGCAGAGGAGGAGGAGGGAACGGGCTCCGCTACCCCAACGGCGGGGCGCGCCAGCGGACCGTTATCCAGCAATCAGTCAAACCCAGTCGATGAAAAAGCCAAGGACGTTCCAACACTCCCAGTGCCTTCCTCTGGAGGGGTAGATGCTGTCTGCTGCAACTATCAGGGAAGAGTCATTTATTAATACAAGGCCTGGCTTTGACTGATTATGGCTGCTCTCGTTGGAGCTCTGAGGCTTTAATTTGTCCCCTTTTCTCGTGTATTTAACGTGTTCATTGGCGCAGATCTAACGGCCCGAGTGTCTCGCCGATAGTTTCAACAACACCTTTTTTAAATACCTTTCCTTCACAGGAAGAGTTTTGGGATGTTTTAAGACATGTCTTCACACTAAATATGTTGCTCTGTGGACTGCTGTCCTCGGGTTGGACATTATTCAACGTTATTATTATTATTATACGTTATTGTATACATGTCTGTATTTGTTGTACAAATAACAGCTCTTTGTTTAAACATATGTGGACACAAACCTCGTGTCCGGCTGCACTGTCACCGATTAGATGAAGTGAATAGACGGATAGATTCTTCTCACGACGACCTCCGGGTTCCCACAGTCAATATAACGGATAACGTTTGCACATGACGGCAGGCACACGTATGTTATTCGGCATCACTTATCTCCCCGTCTGACTCTTGTTTGCATGCAATAGACTTTCGACCGCTGAAGAAGTTGTTAAACGATCCGGGTTACGATTATAGTTCGAGTATGGATATCTTCTAATCATGTTGTGTTTCATTTTGGCGTTTAGTGTAGCCGCGCCCACGAGAGCGTCCTTACCTCCGGTAGTGAGACTTCACTCATTCCGCCTGGCAGTTCACTGAAGTGGGACTTTTTATGTCCCTTTTTGAACTGTGTTTTTTTCAATATAGTTGCTGTATATGCGCTGGATATTTCACGTATGTGCCACGTGTCATCTGTGTTTTCAGGCGAGTTCAAACTGCCCAGTAACGGTGACACGAGTGTGTGTTTTGATACTGAACCTTAAATGTGTACTTCACCCACAGGAGGCGCAGAGTAAAGTGTGGATTAATGTCCCATGATGCTCGCTGCTTTGGTCCCTGTCGATCATTCTGTGTGGTAATAAACGGCTCCGGCGTTGTGTGTGAGGGACCGACTGACGCCGAGTCGTGGTTCATGTGTTCATCGCGCCAAGCACTTCGTTTCTTTACGCTTTTTTTTTATTTTTTTTAGTTAATCATATTTAATCATAAACTCTGACCTGCCACACGAGGAACTTTTGTTTCGCCACAATGTGATTTAATACAATACAAATCAGGGGTGAGTGTTCATCCCTCCATCGGTCAATGCCGAGCACCACGAACGCACAACAGACTGTTCAAATCATGCCGACTATGTATCATCAGGCAATAGTGTCTCAAATTCAAAAGGTCAAAGGTTATTCTTTCTCCACGCTCATAACGTGACATAAGAAGGTGTGTTGCAAACCAACGCTAAACGTGTGTGTTTTAGGGTTGTGATTTACATGCAGGACAATAATGATAGTTGTCATGGTATTTGATGTCATTTCTAATATTGTTAGATTATAGCTGTAGTTCACACTCGATGCTTTAGATGACAGATTGGACACACAAACTGGACTCTTACGAACGTAAAAGTTTTCAGTCTTGTTTTAAACGTGGTCAGAGTTGGGGCAAGTCTTAAATCTTCAGGAAGTTTATTCCAGCTGTTGCGTAGTAACTAAATGATGCTTTCCCATGACTTGTATTTACTCTGGGAATCACAGGTTGGTGTCAGAAGATCTCAGTGATCTTGAAGGCTTATGTAGTGGAAGCATATCAGTGATATACTTTGGCCCTAAACCATGCAGTGATTTATATGTGAGCAGTAGGATGTTGAAATGAATTCTCTGACATACTGGGAGCCAATGTAAGGATTTAAGAATTGGTGTAATGTGCTCACATCTTTTGTTCTTTGTTAGAACTCTAGCAGCGGCGTTCTGAACAAGCTGGAGCTGCCTGACAGTTTGTCAATGTGACGAATGAGCCAAAGATGTCTCTGTTTCAGTTTATTCTCTGATTGCCGTGTTTTGGGGTCCAGGCTTTGGTTTCCGTGTTTTCTCTGCAGCGCCGTGACGTGTCGTTGGAGATAATTGGCCCGGTTGTGTTTCATACCTGCAGCTTCAGCGTCACGTAGACGTCATTGGCTTCCGCAGCGTGGCGTCCTCTTAGTGAGCTGAGTTTCATCTCTTTTTGCTGAAGCATCTACAATCCATTCAAGTGCTTTTTTCATACCACTGTTTTCTTTGTAATAAAGTATTCTTTACATAAGTGTAAATCATTGCCGTCAATTTATCACCATGCACGTCCTTTAAACCAACTGTGTGTAGGAGACCAGCGAGAGAAACATTCAATCAACAGTGAAAAGAAACAAATCGCCTCATCCTGGTGCAGTAAACTCACAAGCTCTTGCTTTTATTCGGCCACTGACTCCTCGCTCACTACTAGTAGAACATGCCCGTGACCGCTGAGCGGGTCGATGACCTCCAGATGTTGCTGTGGGAGCGGTGAAGTGTGGACGGAGACGAGCAGCCACTGACCACATCGGGTCAGCCGGCCCGGTGAGTCCAACAGCGAGCAGCGTGTCGTCTGCGATCGTTGGGGGTCGAGAAAAGGGGAAGTGGGGCACCACGGCTCTAAGGAGATCTGCGTGATGGAGCTACAGAACAAACCAAAAGCCAGTCTCATCTCGTACCGTCGCCCGCTCGCCACTACAAGTGGCCAGTTGCCACGGTAACCGTATTCTTTGAAGTGTGTGCAGCGAGAGATTTGAATGGCAGGCAGCGAGGGAGAATCTGACACCGCTTTGTCTCCCGGCCTTGACACCATGTTGCGCTCCGCCCGTCTACGGTAGCTCGCTAACTCTCTCTCTCTCTCTCCGCTCTCTAACTTTTTGTAACTCGGCGCTTGCGATCACATCTGGTTCACCGATGGAAACAATATGGCGAGAAAAGTATTGGACGGGTCGCCATGACGATACACTGGTACCCCACAGGTCCTCTCTCTACAACACAAAGCCATCGAGTCCCCGCTCAGGCCCCCTTCTCCAGGACAAAGACACTGCAATAAAATGCAGGTTGGCTTTGCGTGAGCCCATGAAAGGAGCTCATCTCTTAGTGTCTAACGTGTAGATATAAATCAGATTGTTTGAGCGCAAGAAACAAAGTTTGTCCAAGAGAGTTTCAAGTTAGAACCCTGCGTGGTTCATAACTTCAACATTCGCACTCTTATTCGATTTCATCACGCACACAATGCCGAGATAAGGAATCCAATTAAGTCGATGCAGCACAGGGTTATTTCCCATCATCTCATACATGTCTATAAACCATGAGCCATTGAAAGTGTAATACATTTTGTCATAGATATGCAAATGCTCTATTGTTAGGGGAGGGATCGGTAACAAAACGAGTGAGTTTTTGATTAGCTGCAATGACAACTGGGGTTCAACCAGTTAGAGACACTGCAGCTTTTACCCTGTGAGACCTTTTCGCAGCCGCTTTGAAAAGAAAAATAGGCCTTCGATGGCGCCTGTTTGAGGGTTTCTGATGCGTGCGATAAAGGTCGCGAGTAACTTGCTCCGTTCAGTCGGACCCGGGCGGGAAAAGCCTTTCGTGCTTTGGAGGTCAGACAGTTTGAGGGTTTGGGCTCTGCCAGGTGACCTGTTCCATCACCTGCTCCTGCCTGGTTAAACCAGCCGATTCAAATAAAGAATAATACCCGCGTGAACCCATCACACCAGTCAGCCGTGGCAAATCCTCTGAAGCTGCTCCTTCAACTGCGCTATCTAATCACATCTGCAATACTTAATAATAACAGATTCACCATTGATGGTCATTATGACACTTGAACTTCTCTGTGATTAGTAGTACTTGGGTTGATCCTCCTGCAGAGCTCCTGAAGCGGGACGTGGTGCTGGACCCGCTGGAGGGAAGTGAGGCGGTGAGCGCGGTGAACCAGGACCAGGACCAGGACCAGGACCGGGGGTACCGACTGTGAGACCCTGCAGTAGAAGGAGAGGTTTTCTAAAGGGACTCTGGTGGTCGGGGACACTTCAACAGACACAAGCAACACGACACGAAAGCTCCTCATAGCGGCTTTGAATAAAGTTTTTAAGGCAGGACCTTTACTTGTGGGGTGTATTAGTATATTTATATCTGTCCGTGAAGGCACGGCGCTCTGCAGGAATCTCACATGCAACGTGCATGTGTTTGTGACTAAATATATTATTTATAATTTGTATTGTCTTTAGGGCTTGTGGTGTTTTCACAGTATGTGATGAAATCCGATAATCAGTCTTCAGTCCCAGTTAACTCGCACTTGTTTTTGGCTCATTGCTGCTCATAAATACTGATGCTAATAAACTATTGCTTCTTCTCCCTGGACTTCAACACAAAGAGCACAAAGGTTATGAAAGCATGTCAGGGTCTGCAGATGCTTCTGATTCCACGTGATCTATGACGAGGCAGCGGTGGAACCGGTGGAACCGGTGGAACCGGTCGTGGCGCTCGCTCTGCTGTCTCATTCCTTCAGTGGGAACAGAGGCCGCCGGCGGCAACAGACGCCTCACTTCATGTTTTCTTGGGTGTTCGAGGAGAAACGCTCGTCCCTCTTCAGCCGGCTTTGAGAAGAGGAGACGGGTAAACGATGGAAAGTCCTCTCGGTGAGTTCATGGTCCAGATAAATGTAAAAGTAACGAGGAATAGAATTGTTGTTCCGGTATTCTTCATATGACTGTGATTGTATTTGATCAGTGGAAGTTGCAGTGCAGGTTGTTTTCAGATCAAATCAACCTTCATCAGGACGTCTGAGCGGCGAGAGGCATTCAGGTCCCCCCTTGTTTTACTCACAGCTCAGATCAGCTGTTAAAGCACTCTCGTTTCCATGGCAACGACCTTTTGATCGCTTCCTCCGACTGGTGAGAAACCGCTTGGACCCGACTAGATCTCCAGAAAAAGAACAAAACTCTTCCCTCAAAGACTCCCGACGGCTTCGTGTGAACAGCGAGTCGTAAGAGGAGCCGAGGCGTCACACGCACAAATTATGCTTTTTAGAATTTAAATTGACCCTTCTTAATTGTTCCATTATTCCTAGAATGCATTTAACGGTGCAGATTCTTTGGATCTATTTACTTGTATATCTACGGACAAACTATTTTAAAGTTGTGACGCTCAGATAAAAGCCTCTGAACGTGTCCACTTTCTGCCTCCTGTCTCATCACTGCTGGTTGTCTTATTGTGGGATGAGGTTTGGTGATGAGTCACTCTTTTCTTCCCCCAGCAGCTTCTTTTCATTTGTGGTCGCCTTGGACCAGAACTTCGGAGACAAGGAGCGGGCCGCCTTGGAGGCTCACGCGGGCCTCCTGGGCGCCGGCGTCTGGGGGCACGCCGTGGTCCTCCTCACCCACGGGGACAGCTTGGCGGGCCGACCCGTGGAGGAGCACATCGAGCTGGAGAGCGGCGCCCTGCGCTGGCTGGTCGAAAGGTGCGAGCATCGCTACCACGTGGTTAACAACGCCAAAAGGGCGGAGCCGGGTCAGACCGCAGAGCTCTTCCAGAAGATCGAGGAAATGGTGGCGGGAAACGGCGGGCAGCTCTTCCACCCCGAGGCGGGCAAGGTCCACCTGAGGATAGAGGAGAAGTTTGCGAGTACGCGGCTGAAGGAGGTGAAGAAGCGGCGGATGGAGGCGGAGTTCAGGCGGAGGGAGCTGGAGCTGATGGAGGGCTTCAAGGAGACGCTCCTCCGCCTGCAGGGAAGCGTGAGGAGCAGATCAAAGTCGCCGAGTGAGTCCCTCGAGCTTCTTGATTCCCTCGAGCTTCTTGATTCCCTCGAGCTTCGCGAGTCCTTCGATTTCTACCCCATCGATATCCTGCTCTTCTGATATTTTGTTTTCTTGTCGTTTTCAAAGCCACAGGTTTCCTCCAGAAGAAGGAAGTCGGAAAGGAGGAGGAAATAATTGACAGAACAATCTGCCTGGAAATTGAAAAGCTGGATAAGGAAATGGAAAAAACAAAATCCTCAGTTGATGTGCAGAGCAGCATGGACTTCATCTTCCCCGATTGTAAGTAATGAGGCTAAGCCCCGCCCCTTCCGGGCTCACTGATGATTCAACCTAATTTGTACGACGGTAAACAGACATTCTGTTGAGCCGCTAGCTAGCTAGCTTGGCCTAGCTTAGCTCTGTTCAAAATATACCGGATCTTACTCCAGCGACTCTTTTATGAGTCGTTTCCAAAAGGTTGTTTCCTGTGAGGACAGAAGGTTTTTTTGGAACTGTCACATGTTGGTGGCTTTTGTAGAAAGGGCACAAGGAGTAACTTAAGAAACCGTTGGTATGAGGAGACGTTGAACTAAGTAGCCTACTTAAACCTAAACCTTTAAGGACACCAGGAAAACAATGTCCCATGATGCTCCTGTTGAGGGGCGGGGCTTATCCTCCCTGTCATCACCATGGTAACCTGAGCGTGGCCTTGTGTTACTTTCCACAGTAAACGCGGCGACTCCGGCGTCTCAGGGGGGAAATTCCTCCCGCCGCTTGGACAACGTTCTCGGGTGGCTGTCGAAGCTCCAGGTCGGCGAGGAGAACCAGACGACCCTGAACTTCTCCCAGACCTCCGGGTACAGATCGGAGCTGGACCTCAATGACCTGAACGAATGAGACGCATCGAGGATTTAAAAACTGCAGAACGTTTGTTCAGGAAGGCCTTCGTTAAAGACGTCATGGGGGTTCATGTTCACACCTCATTCGCTTCGGCTCAATTATATTTTACAGCGTACATACAGCGTTCATACAGTGTACATATTATACAGCGTGCGTTGGAAAATGTCGGTGTCGTGTACGGAGCCGGTGGTCGAAGAGAGAGACGCGCTGGTCGGCGTAGAAGCTTCGCCAGGAGTCGCCCTCTGATGGGCTTTCTGCTTCGCCAGCAGTCTGCTTCCTTTAGCACTAATGCCGCTCTCCCATGTTTGAAATATCTAATGTTCTGCCTCCACATTACTTACATTCTGCTCGTCCCGGGTCTTTGTTTGTTGTAACTCATGACATGCACTTTTCCATATGTAGCCAACCACAGTTAAATCTACACTTCCCTAAACTACTGTTTTTACGGCCACCAAACTTGCGGAAATGATTTGAGAGCGTCCTGCTTATATTTTGAGCGTCTCTTTCAAAACCATCTGAATTATTTAAAACGTATCCTAAATAAACCACATATAACTAATTTTCATAACTTTTCCAAAACCTTTGGGATTTGCAAACGACGCCTGGAAACGACCTTTTTTAAAATTCCATTACTTTTCCAGGTTTTCCATGACCGTACGAACCCTGCCCTGCCAGGATTCAAGCTTATTGCTCCCGCTGTTCATGCTAAAAGCTCCCGGGTTTAAGTTTCTAGTTCTACAAGTTTTCCAGTCTCAGTTTTCACAGTTTTTCAACGCTGTTGCTAATGTTTTAGCTAACGCTCTCACTAATGTCTTAGATAACGCTTTGTCTAACGTCTTAGCCAGCGCTTTTGCTAATGTCTTAGATAACGCTTTGTCTAACGTCTTAGCTAACGCTTTTGCTAATGTCTTAGCTAATGCTTTCGCTAATGTTTTAGCTAACGCTTTTGCTAATGTTTTAGCTAATGCTTTCGCTAATGTTTTAGCTAACGCTTTTGCTAATGTTTTAGCTAATGCTTTCGCTAATGTTTTAGCTAACGCTTTTGCTAATGTTTTAGCTAACGCTTTTGCTAATGTTTTAGCTAATGCTTTCGCTAACCAAAATGGTGGCAGCACTTATCTTCATGAAAGGTAGAAAGTCTCTCGGTTGTTGGAAAGTTCACTTAGTCTCGTGCATCGTACAGTGTATCAGCGATCTGAACGTCACTATTCTCTTATCTAACGTTCCAGCTTCCTTTTTGAATATTCAGATTCTCAGTATAGGCTATTCATTACTTTCCTGCTCGCTTTACTTTTATTTTATTTCCAATTATCTTCATCTTCATCGGTCCTAAAAGTTATTTCTATAATAAAATCCGGTTTGATCGGCATTTTCTCAACCTTTGTTTCAACTCAAAAGGTCTTGTTCTTCACATTGTGTTTTCCTCAACTGTTGCAACCTTCTTATCATCTGCACATGTTAATCCAACAATAACATTTCACATAAAAGACTTATTTGGTATTTGATAATGACCTGTGTAATTCTCCCCCTCGTGCTAATTAAAAAAGACCTTGCATGAGGTCAGTTCCCGCTGTTAGGCTGATCAAAGCGAGACGTTTTTATTCCGGTTTATATCACATTACTTTGTCTTGTAACAAGAGGATCCGGCTTTTTAAAAATAGCCTTTAAAGTGAATCCTGTTAAGCTCTCTCCCTCCGGTTCTTAATTACAGAGGGCAGAAAACATTTAATCCCTTCTTGGTGAATAAGAGCATTAGCCAGAGAGGAGAATGAGTTCTCATTGAACCAGCGTTAATTAATTAGTTCACATGGTCACAGGAACAATAGTATCAAGAGAAACACAACCTGCTCAAGTAAACCCATCCTATTGATTGACCTTTGCATCAGCAGGAAAATTGAGTTGTCACCCATTATTAAGAATGCTTTCTATTAATAAATGTTGACATCAAAATCAAAAAAGACCGCGCATTACCACTTCTATGAAAACGATAATCGGATTACATTAAAAGCAGGGTCATTGTAATTGATTTGAATATTTGTTCCAGGAAACAAAGATTGAATATTTAGCTGACTGTCTTCATAGAGGCGTCTGGATCAGTGTCCATAATAAATATGCTCCTAGCTCTCACTGAGGACGGGCAAAGCAAAAAGATAAGTGGCTTACAGCTGCTGGATTACCTCCAGCCCCAACAGAATGTCAGCAGTTATGCAAAAGAGCACAGCAAACAAGACAGGAGCCAACTCATTTCTTTTTTCAGGCAAAGTACCGAAAGTAAGGCAATAATCAACAAAACAAGCCAATGCAACGAGACGGCATGTTTAGAATATAAAATGTGTCCTTTACCTACAAAAAATGGTTCTCTCTCTGAACTGCAGGGATGACTTTAATAGTCCGACATGGCTCCCTCTACAAAATGACATTCCTTCACCTTATTTCAGACATCTGACCAAAAACACATTGACTTCTACAAGAAGTGGAAACACCACTTTAATTTTACGAAAGGAGTAAAAATCTGAAATATAGTCTAAAAAGTCCATGTGTCTCCATGGACAATGCACAATTTATAGAGCATCCGTAGATCATACACGAGGAGGACATTGCTTAAAGTCAGTTGTGTGTGATGTGAAGGCAGAAAATTGCCCTGAGTGAAATAAAATAACACCTTCTGTGAAATGAGAGAGGCTAAAAGTTCCACCATTACATCTGAGTAGGTGTCATTTGAAACGTCCCGGTCAGGTTCCCACCCTCCACATCGGATGATTTCTTTAGCAAATGATACACGGCTCATTTTAGTGCAGAATAATGAGGGTCTGAACTCCCGGCCAAGAATTACTCCAGTTACACGTTGAAGACACTTGGGATGCACGGCGTTATTGCTAGCGCCTCTATTAGCTTAGCTGCTAATTAACGTTGTGATCCAGAACAACGGCTCTGTGGTGGCAACAAAGTGGACAACACAAACAGATCCCCAATAACTCCATCAAACAGGGCTGTTCTTCTCTTGAACCTGCGTGGTCCTCTGGGAGGGAAGTTCTAACCCAGTTGGCCTGCAGACGGACTCGTTTAAAGGGGAACAGGAGAGCTGGATGATAAACACAGGAGGAGTTGAGCACTTCAGATGAAACACGGCGATGCGCCAGAAAGCTTTTCACACAAAGGAGAACGCTCTCCGTCCTCGGCGAGAGTTATTTTGTCACGTTTGTCGTTCTGTTGCGTTGAGCATCCATCTATTTTCCATTTACCACATTTAAGGTTTCCCGTAGCTGGATGGCAAAGCGTGGGTGGATGGAATAATTAAAAAAAAAAAGCTTGTGTAAACCACTTCAGACCCGTTTGGAAAGAGTTGGCGCTTTGTGACTAACAGCTTTATTAATGCTTTATTAATGATTATCATCATCGCGACCTCGTTCTGGATGGTGTTCATCAGCATTACCTTCCTTTAGTTCCCATACAGTTGTACACAAGGTTTTTAATGTTTTAATAATGTAAAAAATGTTTCGCTGCTTGGCTTCTTTTGAAGCTTTTCATTAAGGACTTTTTAGTAGAAAGAGTTCGTAAAGACAAATGTGAAACTGAGCCGAAAGTGAAAAGCAGAAACATCACAACCTTTATTGTTCGTGTTGGTCTCAAACGTGAATCATAAATGTACAATAAATACAGGTGATATTAATCCATTCCATGTCTCAGCATCTTCTACATTAAATGTGGTAGACTAAAATCATTGAGTTTACATGCCATCATCGTGTACATAGTACAATTGTTGATATAATACCTTTATAACAGTCTACGTCCGTCTTATTGAATCACTCCGCCAACGCTCCAGTTTGATCTCCGCTTTTCATTCACGTTAAAATTTGGGAATCTCGAGCACACTAACATTTAAAGATGAAATCCCTTTCACTGGGTATTAACGGTTCCTTTGAAATATCACAGTGAGGGAAATGTTTGTGAGTCATCGGTGTCCTCAGTGTCTCTAAAAGCAAGTCAGAGTCATACAATTCATCAGGAAAACATTTGTAAACGGAAATGATTGTGACACCAGAGGAACTACCTGGAATAACACCAGTTACACCAGTAGAGGCACCAGTAGCACCATGAGCAGCGTTACGGACTGGGACCTTTCCTGGGGGACGTCCCTTGGATCAACTTTTGTGAGGACAAAAAGAGAATTTGTGACTTTGAATTTCTGCACGTAGGGTTCAGAATTCTGGTCAAAGCTCCCGTTGCTCTGGTCCCTGCTGTGATTATGGCCGCCGTGCACCATTAAGCGCCCGTCATCTGATCGCTCCATCGGGTGAATCACAGCGAGCCAAATGTCTCTTTGCATGGATCACATGTTCCAGCCGAGTCCGATGTGGGTGGCCAGCAGGTAGCACATGCCGATCATGCAGGTCATGATCATCATGGGGAATCCTAACCTGTGAGAAAAAAGGGAAAGGACAGATTTGCGTCGGGGATCGTGTACGGGTCATTTACACGGACGGATGAGCGAAAGTCATAACCGGGCGGTTGAAGTCCATGCTGCAGGATTTAAAGCTGCCGTCTCTCTAATGGCCACCAGGGGGCCACTCCTCTGGTTTCATAGACGTCTTAGTGGTAGTTAGTTCATAAAGCTGGAGAAGTGATGCACGCGTTGAATTATGAATATGATCATATTTGAATAGGGATTCCATGCCTTTGAAAAGGACAATTCTCATTACGTCTGGAATTTAGTGAGCTAAATAGCAATGATCACTGCCAGGAAACTAACAGTCAAACTACAGTCCAGACTGCTCTCCCGGGTCTTGGGGATCCTCAGTCATAGAGAGTCACAGATTCAATGCGTGGCCCTAGAGGACTCCGGACCTGCAGATGGGCCGTCACTTGGACGTCTACCACGTCCTATGTGGACACATGGCTGCTCCAAAGGCCGGAGGTCTGCGTGCCCGCATGTCCGGTTGTCATGACAACGGCCAAGAGCAGTTGGTTAATGAGCCGTTCACTGGCCAGCCTTAAATATGAGTTCAATATATTTTTAACAACAGGCATTCGTTGCGCTAAACACGTCTTTTACTACTGAAAATATGACTTTTTGGACGCTGATTGGAGGCCAATACGTTTCATGTAAATAAAGTCCAGCACACTGATAACTGATGTTTATCATGATGTTTTTAGTACTTTGTGGTAAGGCTTATGGAGCGCTTATTGGTGAACAATCATTTCAGAATGTGTTTCAATGAGTTTATATTCCTACTTTGTAAAGAAAATGGTCAATAAACAAAACAGCAGGGGGCAAAACATGTAAGTGTGAGTGTAACAAGCTTCACATGTGTGATGTGGTCAAAACTGAGCTTTAATTACGGATCCCCCAATTGGCCAATTAAGGCGGTATTGCACAAGCTCCTTGTTCCAGATATTTCTGCTGAAAAACAGCTGAAAAAAGTGAAATGTTGGGGGGATTTTGTGGGAGTTTAGGCCCTTGTCTAATCAAACATCAATAACAGAAATTCGAAATCAGCAGATGATAAATCCTTTGATTCAAAGCATGGAGATGCTATATTATGGTCATTGCTGAATGGCAAAAGTGACTAAAAGCAGCTGGATATAATTATATAAGTCCCTTTGAGCCATTTCAGATCCCTATTTTAAGACGACCTTTCGAAAGCCTCCATGTATCGAGTCTTGGAGAAGAGGACCTCAAATTAAAGTTGAAAGTAAATCAAGAGTAAATGTTGTTGTGTGTGAGTCTGTTGATGTATTACTCTTTATCGCCTCAACTATTTCTTTTCAGTATAAATACTCTATTCAGTATTTATTCATAAAATAAAATGATGGCGTTTCTATTTAATATGCATGTGTAAATGTCAAATTAAAAGTTGATGAAGGACTAATGAGGCTCATTAATAATGAGTTCAGCCCGGCGTGATGGTGCATTTAAATTGTGACGGAGTCACACCTTTTTGATTGGCAAACTGAACTGAGCTGCAAAGGTCAGGTGATTATCATTTGTATTTACACATCAAAGGTTTAAAACAGGATGTGAATAATGAGGGAAACCTCAGAAAAAAAGCTCTAATAATAGGGAGAGGCAGACGTGTCAGCCGGCTAAACAAAGATTTGTAATGATCCGACTCTCCTGACCTTTTACTTCCTGTAGCCTTTGAGAAGTTTTTTGCCATTTGCCACTGAAACGACTTAAGAGGAAAGAGACTTTTGCCTTTCGATAAAATTAGCAATTAACTCCATTTTTCCACATTTACATTATTTCTAGACAACACGGTGATAAGCGTTTGAATAACAGAGTGAATATAAGGAGCGGATGTTGTCGTTGTCTTTAAATGAACCGCAATCTAGTAAATGAACATTATGGACATGAAACTAGAGATTGAGACCATAAACTCGTGTTTACAATGTTTACTGAGGGAATAAATCAAGAGAGTTATCTTCTCATGGACTTCTATGGGACCAGAGGAGTCGCCCCCTGGTGGTGATGTGAGAGAATGCAGCTTTAACACATGAAACTCTGAAAATGAAAAAGAGATTAAAGTTTTATTGAATATGTGATAGCTTGTAAACAGATATTTTTATACAGTTGTTGAATTATTTTTTCTCTCTCTTATTTTTTTGTTGAAAAAACGTTTCCTCAAGGATCCACGATAAAACAGGGAGAACAACTGATGTGCAGATTCAGTGGGTGAAGTATTTCTTTAAATATTCCATCAACATTAGAGCAGTGCTGCCTTTATTCTTTGATGAATGAACGCCGACTAGAAGACGGACGGGGTCGTGGAATCCGTAACCTCTCACAATCAGACAGGCCGAGTTCACCTCCACTCAAGTGAGTCTCTTTCCGCTGAGAGACACTTTTGTCTTCCCCATCAGAGGCACATCACGACGGGACCGAGGGCAGATGAGAAATCTGCCGCGGTAGGGCACGAGGTTCACCTTGTCAAAAAAATACTTTATAATCTACCACTTTGATTTAAATTGCCCGTGATGGGTACTCTCCCCGGACGAACCGATTGCAATCACACGGGCTTTGTTTAGATAAACCAGAGGGCCCCTGTCGTCAGTCGGTGCCGGCTGACAGACGCGTTCAACGGGCAGAGTGACTGTGGCTAACATGCAGTTTATGCTGGATTTCTTTCAATTGATGGAAAATGGGAATATTAATCGTGTCACATGTGGAAAATAATAGCCCCCTCTCTCTAAATCCACTCGCGTCGGCGAAAATGGTTTCCGTTTGTTCCCTGTCTGGTGGACGGCGGACCGGGAGCCCCGCCAAAATAAGATATGTATGAAACGAACCCTGATGCGGTGCCTCGTATTTTATCTTACGAAAGGTTACTGCTCATATTTCATTATTTGTCCTAAAAGTATCCAGCAACACTGTGTCAATGTTAGCTCATTAAATGAAGTCAAGTTACTGAAGTGTATTTGAAGGATGAGCTGGATGAGACCAACACGTGCTCTCATGTTCAGTTTAGACGCGTTTTGGAGATATTAGGGTCGAAGGTGGCGCATGGAGTAGAGAGGGCCTGACCTAACTGCAGGGAACCGCAAGGTTGGCAGTTCAAGCCCCGGCTTCCCTCATGTCCCATGTGGAAGTGTCCCTGAGCAAGGCACCTAACCCCTAATTGCTCCCCGGGGAAAAATGTAAAAAGCCATGTGTCAATAACACAATGTAAGTCGCTTTGGATAAAAGTGTCAGCTAAATGACCTGTAATGTAATATTGTTCACGGTTGCTTTAAGAGACCTTGAAGGCATCTTGGCGACAGTGTCAAGCTGTCTTCAGTATGGCCCCGTAATTCACCCGCATGAGAACAACTTAATCACAGTTCAAAGAGGAAATCGGAAAACAACGTTTAAACGTTGGAGGTGGGCAGTACTTTGTAATTGCTGTTATGCCTCTTTAATGGAAACTTAAAATCTCTTCATCCTATTTTGACAGCTGTTGAGTAAGTTGCTCATGTCCCCCATGTTGATAATTGGAGGAATGGAGGAGGACGAGCACCAGGAGGCGTGAAGGAAGCAACAGGGACCAACTGAGCCCAGCGCTCCGGGGTCCCTCACTTTTAAAGGCGTCCACGTCTCTGCCGCCTCATCTGGGCCACGAATCGCACCATCTGATACGGCACCAATCAGTCCCAGTCCGCAGACAGACGCCCCCCCCCCCCACTATCATACCTGTCTCTCTGACCAGCTGAGACCTTTTGCCACAGAAAGGCAATTACAGGCTGAACTGAAGATAACGGCAGATAACCGTAAACACGGCTGTGTGTGAGAGGAGCGGAGCCGACAGGCTGCAAGGGCGCTAATTTATTCCTGTGAGATCTCGTGCAGACGGGGAAATCACAAGAGTCTTTTTTTGTGCAAAAAACAAACTGAAACAGAATTAGAACCAACTGTGAGGATCTTTTACGCTCATTACGAGCGTAACGGAATCCCTCTGTAGTTGTGCATTTGTTTTTCTTTACAACACTAATGCTGTTGTAATATTACTTCCTGTCCACTTCCTGACGGGGTGGAAAACCCTGAGCAATCAACCACAACAGCTCCAATTAATTATTATTAAAAAGTTATTGTTATGTTTTTATTTTTGTTACCGTTTAGCCTCTGAAAAACTAATCTAGTTCATCATTTAATTCAGTTAGAGGATTTTCTTTGAGGATTTTCTTTCCGCGACGCCATAAAACACGATGACAAACAAAAGACTTAAATGTAGCCACGACCGACGTTGAAATCCCTAAAATCCCACCGCTGGTGGATGAAAATAGCAAAGAAACAAACACACTAAATGTCCAGAGGATGGCAGACAAAAGGGCCGCTCATCCGTGAGAGGACTCTCCATTAGCTCGCCAGCCGCGATCAATTCTTGTCACTCGCTCCAGTGGAAACGTTCCCTGGTAACCTCGACGTGGCCCTTTGGTTTTCAACGCCGCCTCAAAGAACAAGCGTCCCGCTGTGACACAAAGCCCAGAGCTTCGTGTCAACGCCAGCAGTCGACGTTCAAACGCCATCTGCTGTAGAACCGAAGCCCACATGGAGATGCCTCGCTCTTCTCCTCGTCTCCACGTGTGAGATCTCTGAATGTTCTCAGGGCGCCGTTGGCTCTCGTATCGGAGCATATGATGGTCATTAAGATGGGAGCAGCCCTCTGGGCCTCAGAACGGGGCTCGCACTGGTGCCAGAGTCTGGCCAAATGTTTAACGGCGCGGCGGTGACGCGTGTCTCCACTCGGGGGACGAGGAAAGCTCACCTGAAGAACTCGATGAAGGAGAAGCCGTAGCCGTGCTGCTCGGCGATGCCCGCGCACACGACGTTGGCCGAAGCGCCGATCAACGTGCCGTTTCCTAAACAGACGGGAAAGCAAGTTTAATCCAAAAGGAACATGAGCGTGTTGTTCAGGAAATAACGATTGAGGGGTTTCACGCTGGTTGCAGGCGAGCAAAGCAGAGTGTTTTTAGACATTCGGGTTTTAGTGAAGATGCACCACTGGATTCATGAGGCTCCTGTTTAATGTTCACTTCTTCTCTAATTCTCCCTTCAGGTCGAGGTTTCTGTCCCGCTGTCCACAGGAAGACATGTGAACTGTGTCTTTTTACATCACGAGGTT